CTGGGATCAATATCTCGTTCTTGCACCGTTTGCTCACTATCTCAAGGTATGTTCCTCATCTAAAATGCTTTTCAACTTCCATTCAAGCGAATTTATCGAATATTTTCTTTACTGTTTGACTCCATTAAATTTACAGTAAAATTAATAAAAGAATTTTTAGTTTAATGGAAATGTAATAACTACTTTTTTTCCCTTTCCTTGGTTTTCTTCTTTACTATACATATTTTATTTTTAAATATACTTACGTACATATATAGAAAAATTAAGTTGATTTTATTGTCCAAAGAGCTTGCAACAATTTTTGGTTATTTGAATTTCAGTGTTTTTCTTACAGAGAAGAAGAAAAAAAGTAAAGTAACTTTATTTTTTTCTTCATTTTATGTAAATGTAATGAAATAATAAAGTTCCTTCCACTGAAAAGTAATCAAAAGAATAACAACAGTCAAACAAAAATAAAAGTTATTAAAATATCATTAAAAAAGAAGAAGAAAAATAACAATAATGGTAGCATATCCTTCATTACTTGGAAATTATTCTTCCACAACCTCTTCTTTGTCTCCATTAACTCGAGTCTTTGCTGCTTGGTAACCATTTGAATATTTTTTAAATTTTAAAAATATGACAATTTATTAAGAGTTTTTGATTTACTAAGATCAATTCAAATGAATAGCTCAATAGCTCAATCTAGCTCAGTGGCTCAATCAAATCGCAAAATTCCCTTTTCTTTTCAAATCAATTATTTATTGTTAATATTATTTCAATTATTTTTATGTTTTGCTTTACTTATCTTAAATTTAAATTAAATTCCAATCAGATATGAAACATTGGAATTTTAACGAATGTATAAAAATTAAAGCATGTGCAATAATTATTTTTTTGGTGCTCTAAAATTAAAAATTCTGTTATTTGATGTTTTATACAATGGTCACTTTATCAACAATATTATAAAAAAGAAGACTTTATTTTAAGAGCAAGTCAATCCATGAGAAAATGATGACAATGATGTTGAAATTAGGATGATGAAGAGTTGGTGCAAAACAGAATTTTTCATTGCTATTTTTAAAACGCAAAAATTGCAATTTCTTTTTGAAAATATATTAAAAATTTCGTATTAGGTTTGTAATATTGAAAAAGTTCATCTATTCGCTAAGAATATGCCTGTGTAGTTTGCAACGGGAAACATAAAATGAGATGAAATATGTGAATTTAGAAAAATCTTATTTGATTCTAAAAGCACTTACTAATTCGTTCGATATAGACCTTGCTTATATTACCTCTTCGTCAATGAACTTTCCAAATAAAATGCCAAATCTGTTTGCCTATGCTTCCCTATCCTTATTTTGCGTTACTTTTGGTAAACTTTTTGTTTTATTTTGAACAATTTTCTCTCTTATTCGTTTTTTTTATTCAAAAAAAAAATATTTTTCATCTTTGGATAATTTAAAATTTAAATTTACGATTTTATTATTGAAGAGATGGTCAGAATAAAATATAATTCCAAATTAATGGGGCAAAGTTTATAAGGGAAAGTTGAGATAGAATATAGTAGTAGTGGAGGAAGGAGTAAGAAATGAATAATTAGAATTAGGGTACTTTCTTGTTTTTAGAAGTTTTTCCTATCTTTGCCCACCTTTCCATCATTCCAATGTTTTATGATGACCTATGAAAATAAGAACATAGAAAATCGTTTAAAAAATTTAATTTATTTATACAAACTTACATACATATATGTATACTTTGATTCGATTTTATATTTTATATGAATCTAGAAAATTTCATTAAAGATTTTTAATTCATTTGTTATATTTTTTTGGTTGATATAGCTAAAACTTTTTAACAATGAACTACGATACCTTTTAGGGAACTGAGGATTTAATGAAAACGCATTGGAAGATTTGTTACTCTTTTTTGCATATTTTTTATTTAATTTTACAAAAAAAAACAATAGCCTAAAGCTGTCATGGTCAATGTCAAACTAAGATCAAATACAAAGTTATTTGATTTATCTATTGATGAAAGTGTGACCGTGTAGACAAAAAATACTTTTGTCATACTTAGGTAATATAATATGTTTCTTATGATAAAAGTTATTTGACAATTTCAGGTAGAAATTTTTCTTAAAAAAGCATTGACATCAAAAGAATTTAAAAAAATTGAAAACTGCTTAGATACCATAGAAAAAGCTTAGCAACTCCACAATCGAAAGCAGTTTTCGTATTAAAGGGAAACATTCATGGCAATTAATACTCTATTGTGTATCTTTTGAAATAAACCAAATTGAATCAACTAATTGTCTTAGAAACTAGAATGCAAAGTGTCATGTTAGAAACTAAAATGCCAGCCATCATTGAATTATTAATCTAATTATTATAAATAGTTTTATGTTTATATTTCTTGTTCTACTGGTAATTTTCCGATTTGCTGTTAAAAATTTCAATTTTTTTTTTATTTATTAGTTCAGACTTTAATATTAATTTTGTTTTTTTTTAAATTTATGTCAGTATTTTCCGAACTCATTGCTTTGCCTTTTTAAGCAAAAGCAAAACAACTCTGTAAAAAAATTTTAATTTGACTAAATTTCAAATTCAAAACTCGCAACATATTTGCAATTGGCATTTTAGGTTAATTGTGTCTCATTAACCTTAATTAGGATCATTGTGGCACTTAATAAAGAGTTACACTGTATGTTGCCAGATAAGAGTGACATTGAAAGTTATGTGACTTAAATCTAACTACAAATGCATTTGATGTTAGTTTGACTTTAACGATTATAGTTTAAGAATGCTATTGCTTCTTTCTAAGTGCAATTTTCGCTGAATTTGCTACCACAATCGCTAAAATGGTAATATGATGTATGTGCTTATATTTTCTTTGTTCTTATTCAATTTACTTTTAGTTTTGTATTCACTTATGTAAGCTGCACTAGCACTTTCGTAATATTTCTTTTATTCAAAAAGGATAACTGAAAAAATTTAAGGTGTTGAAATTAAGAGTAAATTCAAATTTGGTTTCTTTTTTTTTTTAAATAATTTTTTTTCATTTTATTTGTTTTTTTTTTATTAATTTTTATTTCAATTTTACTTATAAATAATTATTTTAATTTATTTTTTCTCATTTGATTTCAATTTTTTTTTATTTTTTTTCTTTCAATTTTTATATTTAGTTTTATTTGAAATTTTTGTCACGAATTTCCAAAGGATAATTTTTTTAATAATTGTTTTGTTTACATAATTTGTGATTTTTTTTTGTTTTTACTTTTGATTTTGAAAATAAATTTCTAATTACATTTATTTTTGTGTTTTTTTTTTTTTATATTTTTTAAACATTATATTTAATTATTTTATTTTTTTTATAAATTTAAATATAATGGTACTTGTATAAATATTTTAATTATTTTATTTTTTTTTTCATATACGAATTTGTGGTGTATTTTGAGATAAAAACAACGATCCTTTTTAAAAAATGTTTTCTGTATTTTTTTTTTGTATTTTACCCGTACATAATATTTTTGGAAAAGTTTTTATTTTTATTTTAGATAACTACGAATTAGTGGAATAATTCAACATGGAATAAATTTACTGACAAATTCATGAAAGAAAAATATAATTTTTATTAACTGAAATTTAAATTTCAAAATTCAAATATAAGGCGGTGGACACATCATATGTTTGTACAATTAAAATTTATTATTTTTGGTATATGTATTGATAATTGCATTAATTTGGAAGTGTGGATTGAAATTAAAAGCCGAAAATTGCAACACTGAAATTATTCTTGAGAATAAATTAAATTTAATAGAAGTTGAAAGAAGAGCGAGCGAACTAAAGTGTAAAAATAAGTTCAAAATAAAATGGCAGACAATTTACTTAAATTTTTTATAAAATTTAAAATCATAAATTTTAGGCAAAATTCTTTGTATTATTGTTTTAAAGAAGCAATGAATGAACTTTTCAATATTGTATTTAAAATAATTATTTATAAACAACACTAAGTGGGTGCTTTCAGTATAGTCAAAATGATCGTTATTTGACGCGCCCAATGACGGCAACATTCCAATTTAATTATTGTAATTGTCATAATATAGTTGTTGATTGTTATTTGATTTTATTGAACGCAATTTTTAAAAATTTAACATTTAAAGATCAAAATGGTTTCGATTTATTTACTATTATAACTAATGTATGTGAATTATATAAAAAAAAATTCTTTACGACGTATTAGACTGTCCTAGGAATTCCTTAGAGTGTCCTATACTTAGATAATACATACGATACGATAATATGATCATTTTGACTATGCCGGAAGCAGGCAAAGATTTAGGTATGATATTGAAAATTGCCTTTATACTTAAAATGTACTTAAAATTTAAATGAATTTTATACAGATATTACCTTTTAAACAAAAATAATAAATGCAATTATCCTGTAAAAATGGTTAAATTCTTAGCTTTCAATTTTGTAAAATTTAAAAATTAAATTTTTCACAATTTTAAATTATTCGAACATAAACTTAAACATTTCACAATTAAATACTATCATTTGTTTATAAATTTTAAGTTAATACATATGTACTATATATATATATTTATATATATGCAAAATTATTGTAATTGAAACTAAAATATCCTTTTTTTTAAATATTTTTCGATTTTTTTTTCAATTATATTTTGACTTACATGTAAATATTTTAATATTAAATGACACATTTATGACATTTATTTAATTATTTTTATTTTATATATACAGTTTTTCTAAATATATTTTATAATGTAATATATTATGCATACATTATTATAGTTTATTATGTACATAGTAATAATTACATATTGTTAAAATTATTTTAATTACTTTATATTTACATTAATAATAGATTTTTACTAAATGTGAGTACCCAAATTAGGGTTTTTTTTGTCTTATTCTGAAATTTTCCTTTATGTAAGATCAAAAAATAATAATTATATTAAAAAACATTTTAAAATATTCTGAATTTGTTATGGCAGTTTTTATTTCTTGTCTGTGAGAAAATTATGATATTTTAACATATTTAAATCAATGAGAAATTTAGAAGAATTTCCCAGGAGTCCATTAATAGAAATCATTTAAATTAATATTAAAATAATTAATTATTCTGATTTCTTTCTAATTTTTACCATTACTTTCAAATGATATAAACCAATTTGAACTGCCTAATTTTACAAATTTAAAGAAAACTCATATGATTAGTGGAGAAAATGAATAAGCCATGTATAGTAATGATTCTAAAAATAATGCCAGATTTAGACTTATTATAATCGGCCGAGCGAATTACATTTTTGAGGAATATAAGTTTTTAATCATATGAAAGCTCTATTTGCAACAAGCTTAGCGAATATAACAAAAATGTTTTGGTTAAACAAACTATTTTGAAGTTATGATATTGTTATTTTTAATGTCTCGTTGAAATAACAATATTTTAGATTTGGCGAATGATTGTGATTTAAAATGTTATTGAGTTCACTGAGCTCCTTCAGTGATAAAGCTGGTAATTTTAATTTGTTTAAATTTACTGATACAAAAATTTATATATATATGTACATACAACAATTACAAAATTTTCAAATTAAAAATATTTTTAATTGATTAAGTTTAAAATAATAAAGTTATTTCAAAAATTTTGTAATGTGATAAAACATTGATTTTTGCGTTAATTGACAATATTAATTAATTAAATAAACGATTTAAAAAATTAATTAGTCAAATAAATTGATTTGGGGTTTTATGTGAAAAAAAAAATAAATTTAATTTCTATTTTATTAAATTCAGTTTTTATAAATAACTAACAAATTGAAAAATTAATTATAACATTTCCTACATTTTTTAATAGTCGTTATTATTAATGGATGAATTTGAATTGAACAAATTAGTTAAAATTCATTGTACACCTTCTCATTCCCTAATTTTACTAAAAACATTTTAGCATTATGGGAAATAGTAGGTATTTATAGTGTGCATATACATGTTGATCCGATATAGATAACATTAAAATTGCTTTTTATTTGGTTATAATTAAAAAATATTTTTTTAAATGGATTTTAAGAATTTTTTTTGAAGCATAATACTTTCGGCAGTCTCAAAAAAAGTACAGTAATTAACCAAGTAAAGTTAATCGTATTTGTGAGTGATAGTTAACTTTTAAAAATAATTTTCTAACTTTTTGTATATTTAATTTTACATTTTTATTAATTAAAATGTTGAAAGCAGTCATCTTAGATGTTTTATACTGTTTTTTTTAGAACAATTTTCAAAAAATACTATAAAATTGTAATGGAATCTTAGACGAAAAGGTCAAAATGAGTCGAAAATTCAAAAATCAAGAAAAATGGACCGGATGTGTAAATTACAAATTACTGCATATTTTTATTTGATCCAGCTACTTTAATGTTTCTATAAATACCAATTGTAATTTGTTCAATTAATCCAAAAAGTAACATTTCCTTTCATCCATTTCTTTCTAATTTGCAATAATAATTTACAAATTTCAATATTTTCTGATTAGATTTAATTTACATATTTTATTTACACTTAATTTTGTTATTAATCTATTATTTATTTTTAATTTTTTTTCATTTTTTTTAATTTTAAAATATTTTCTAGATTTAATTTGAATAAATCTTCTAGAATTTTTGAGCATTTTTCCATATTAAAAATTTTATTTGTTGCCAATTTTATATTTGTTTGAAACTTATTAATTAATATTTTATATTATATTTGTTTTTCTCTTTTTTGTGTGTTTTTCTTTGTGTTAAATAAAAAAATTTATCTATTATCTATGATTTAATAAAAAAGTTCTCTGATTCCTCTACAGTTCAGTAATAATTTTCTCTTCAGTTTTATGAATTTTAAATACAAAAATTGTCATTATTATTTTTTTTATATAGATAAATACTGTGAGTTTATTTGATTTTCGTTTTATTTTATCTTAGGCGTTTACTAAACAAACCATGTATATAGAGTACAGCGCATTCTAAAACAATAACAGCCAGCGTTAAAGGGTTATTGAAAATTAAAATTTACTGCCTCGGGGGGAGTACTAATTTTGTTCAAAAGTTTCGAGAATATAAAATTAGTTCCGGATATTTACCTGAATATCCGAATGAGTTTCAAATATTTATTAAATTTTCGAATTAGTAAAATCAAAATGATTTCGTCTCTTCAATTGAGACCTTGTAACACTGGTTATAATTGAATTTTGTTCATTATTATACGTTTTGATTATAATACATTTAAACACGTATCACATCACCGGGACAATGTGTTTTCTGTTCATTATCATTTTCATCGGTATCATTATTATCGTTATCATCATAATCTCTATCAATATCAGTATCATTATCACTATTTAATCTAATATTACAATTAATTTCATCTAAATCTGTATCAATATTACCATTATCTGTATTATTACAATTATTTGTATTATTTACTAAATTAGAAGAAATAACAATTCCATCAATACCAACACCATTATTTTCATCTACTATTAATAAATTTAATTCGTTTACTCATCTACCACCCTCTCGTCACATAAAAACATCACTGCCAACAACAGATGACTTTCTTGGTGTTGTTGGTATACCATGTGGACATGTCTTGGCAGTTGATTCATCTTCAAATGTTACCATTTTTTCACGTGGTGGCTTCATTAAAATTTGTTGTCCAGGACCACCGCCACTTCCAACACCACCACTACTGATACCGACACCACCACCAGCAATAACTGGTGGTAATAAAATTGTTTGTGTTTGTGCTATTGGTACAGCATTTGACATACCAATATCTAAACCCGCTAAACCACCGGGTGTACGTCTTGGTGGCGGTAATGCTAAATCACCGACACCAGATAAATTAAATTCACTAACACTTCTTGGTACAAAATATTCCATTTGATTTTCCATTATACCTGTTGATCGTCTTGCTGGAGTATTTCTTTGAAATGCTGTTGATCTACGTGGTAATGAGCTGTATTGTGATGTTAAACTATAATGTGGATTAACGCCGATAATACTTTGATTAGGACCACCTAATATACCATTACCATTGCTACCCATTAGATCACCAGCATTTTGTCTATGTCAGGATTTTGATTGTACAGATGATACAGCAGAAACTGAAACCAATGCAACATCATCTTGTCCACCTAATAAATTATTTGGATTCGATGATGACGATGTTATTGTTGACGATGAAGATGGTGGTAATACTTGATCTTGTACACCAAATTTCCTTAACCAAAGTATTAATTCAGTTTGTATTAAACTAAAACACATAGCTACAACGGCCATACCAAATATTATATAACCGGATGCCAAATATTGACTTAAATTACCAGTTGGTGATAAATCACCAGAACCAATTGTTCCCAAAGAAGTAAAACAAAAATATAATGATTCTAATACACTCCAATTTTGAATTTTATGGAATAGTAGAGCACCTAAGCTAATATAACAAATTAAAATTAAAATGCATATAGAAATTGGCACACTTGGATTCGTATGACTCGGTCTTATTAAATTTGATGATCCTGCTGATAAACCAGATGACGAATGTAATTGATATGGACTATTATTACTATTGTGTAATTTCGATGAATGTTGATGATGTTGATGATGACTAAAATGTAAATGAGATGCTGCATTACCACCATTTGTATTTGAATTATTTGTATTTGTTCCGCTACTATCTAATGGTGGTGTTTTATTGCTTCCACCCGATGAACCAGAATTACCACGTTTTTTGCTATTACTACTACCACTACTGCTACCGCTAACACGAAATAAACAACGTATTGCCGATGATAAACCTTCTCCCATTGCTGATAAATATAAAAGGACAATGGGTATTCCAAATAGTGCATATATAAGAGCTGCTATACGGCCCCATTGTGTTCGTGGTGATATACCTCCATAACCTGAAAATAAATAAGCGAAAAATAACGTACATTAAATGGACTTTATTAAGTTATATGTAATTAAAATATGGAATTAAAATTTTTCTTAACATTTATTGTTTTGTTAATTATTAAGGACAATGAGTAGAAGTTAAAATTGGGACAAACACTTTTTTAATACTTTGCAAATATCATAAACTAATTGTTTGAATTTCGAATCAATGTGAAAAGCGCAGAGTTCACAAAAACAAGAATATTCATTTTATTTCCAATTACGGTCATGTGTACGACAAAATTTTAATTTTTCTTTTCTTCTTCATTCTAATGATATCCTTGTTCAATATTCTATTCAATTATGTTCATATCATGTTTCCAAAAGGTCTTTGTTTAGAAGAAATGGTAAAGTTTATACATATGATTTCTCCTTGTAAATATGCAAATTGTTTAAAAAAAAATGTTTATGTTAATTTTTTTATTAATCGAATGTCAAAACTTATTTTTTTTTGCTCACTTTTTATTTTTACAACGTAATTTGAATAATGGGTAAATTATGGAAAATCACTGGCGAAACCCATATGTTATAGAGATAATCAGGTCTTTTACCTTTCAACGCATGATGGCAGTATGGCACTGAGAGAGAATAAACGCTTTAAAATAAATTCAAAAGAAAAATTTTTTAATAGATTAGGAAAAGCGGAGAAAAGTATTTTTAAAAGTTTTTAGAGAGAAAAAATTTAATGTGAGTGAGAGTATAACAAAATTATACAAACCAATTTGTTTAAAAATTACTCTTATTGCTTAAATTAGTTAAAAATTTCTTTAAAGACACAATTTCTATAAGATTAAATTCATTAAAAATATAATGAAATTAAACTGGAAAAAGTGAATAAAGAATATAATAAAAGTGGGTCACATTAATAATGTAGATAGCCGCATAAGTAGAACTCCATCAGCGTCAGTAAATGAAAAACAAATGGCACGAGTCACATACAATAGATACAATGAATGTTAATTTTCACTTGTACAGAAAATTTATTATAAAAAAGAGAATGTAAAATTAACTAAATATTAAACCAAAAAAAAAAGAGGGGAGGGAAGAGGAATTTTGACATATATACGTACACACACATGAATATTCTCATAAATTTATTCAACTGAAAGTTTATAAAAATTTAAATTGTAATAAGCAGTAAAATTAGATGACCAGAATATTATAAATTTAAAAGCGTAACATAAAACAAAGTTTTTTTGAATACAAATTAAGAATAAAAAGAAATTAAAAAGTACCAGAAAGATTTGAAAAATGGAGGACATAGACTGAGTTTTTATTAGTACTTTCTTTTTCTATACTTTTAAAAATACTTTAAAAAGTTTTAATGCATAATGACAAAAAAAAAACACTTTTACCATTAATCTCCTACATAAAATGCACTATCATCTACATCATAATCATCACAGTTATAATAATCATCATCATCATCACACTATTCGTAAAATTTCATTTTATTTCATTTCATTATCCGACCACTTTCAGTCAGTTAAAATTCTCTTTTTATATTATTTTTCGTTATAATTTTCATTAAAAACATTAAATTCTGCCTAATTTTATACAATTGCATATTTTAAACAAAAAAAAAAGAAATTTTAACTCATCAAATATTCATAATGAAGAAAAATAATTCTAAACTAGAGAACTTACAGTTGTATGTATGTATGGAATATTCTCTATATCCATACATTAACATTAAATTATAATGTTGCAAGTGAAAATTATCATACGAAAGTAAACGAATGCAATGAGAAAAAAAATTATAACTGTAGAGTAGATGCTCTACTTTTCCGAAAATATTTTATAGAAATTATATGTACATACGTTTAAATTACTTAAATATATGTAGGAATACACAGACTTTATTTATGTATTACTTGGTAATATCAAACTTACTAAATAATAAATGGTACAAAAAACAAAGGAAGAAGAATAAGTGGATGTGGGACAATGAAATGATACAGTAAAAGTAGTTGCAGGACATGTTAAAAAAAATGATAAATTTGAAGATTTATTTTTATTGGATGATACCAATGATAAATAATAGAATGTATAATCAATATGGGGAAGCAATAGTATAATAATTATAATGATTAGTGCCGTGGTATTTTGGCCACATATTTCTTGTCGTCCCGAATATAAACAGAAGCTTTTAATGTGCGGCGGTGGTTTCAATGTTGATGGGAGCGAAAATACGTTCTGCGTTGGAAATGCACATGAATACGCTGTGCCGAACACACTACTGAAATGGCCCGCATTTACTGAAATATCCAATTTCTACACCTTTTATGAATATATACAATGATATAGAATTGACCCATTTCTCTATGCAGTTTCCTAACTATAATGCAGTTCAATGATTCGGAGAAGAAAATACACATTATAAATGAAAGTACAAATTTTTTCTTAACCTTATACGATAAGAGAACAAATATCAGTAAAATAAAAAAACAAAATACAAGTATAAAAAACAAAAAATTCGATTGTTTCCCAATTTCATAAATCGCAAGTCAATCGTTTAAAAAGCCAATCAAATTATATAAATCATAAATGTCAAAACTATTTGCTATTGCTTTCTCTCTTTTATATATTATTAGCTCTTAGTTTTAGAATATAGTTGTAAAAATTAATAGAAAGAGAAAAGTATGTATAAAGTTTTTTTTGTCCTTTTCACATATTGGCTATTAATATTATAATTTTAATATCTTTATTTTTGTCTGTGATAAGAAAACATTTATTTTTCTATGGATTTTTTTTATTGAAAGAACAATAAAAAGGAGAGGTAAAAAACCATTAATTTAATATTAAAAATCATAAATATAGTTTTTGGAGTTTTTCATCTTCTTAAATATAGGATTTGGTGTTTTATATAATTTGTTCTTCGATAGATTTACGTCTAAAGTGCTAAAGACAAAAATGAGGAGGAATATAGAAGAAAATTCGAGAATAGCCTACTTTAATACTCAATTATAGATACACAAGTGTTGAAACACAGTGAGCTTACCAGGAAAGTAATTTTGTCAAAAAGGAAAAAATTGTGTAAAATTTTAACAGCATTTAGTGTCAGAACCAGCAATATTTATTTATTCAAGCATATTTATTATTTATGAATCTCATTTTTTGTTAGAAATATATAGTACATGTAAATTTCCTTTAGCAAACGAATAAAAATACGTGGCCAAAGACCACATATGCATACCTATGTATTAAACTGTATTTAGTCTTTGATGCATTTAATTCACACAAGCATTCCTATTTTGTTAAACTCTGAGGAGTCTACATCAGTGAGATTTCGAAAATTTTTTGATATTCGACAACTTCTGCATAGTTACTGCAGAACTCTAATCCACAATGCAGTACAACCTCTTTATATTTTACTGCACAGTAAATTTTTTTAAGTTGCGGTACTCGTACTGCAGTGAAACTTTTATTACTGCGTTTTGGTAGTCACGGATTATTATGAATAAATCAAACTCTCACCAAAAAAAAAAAAAAAACCATCAGGCACTAAAACATTAAATATATTTTTGAATCTATTTTCGATTAGATAACATTGGTTTTTTGATAATTAAATGTTACTTTATTGAATAACGGATATAGAATGAATTATAATTGTCATGACGTGTATAATAAAATAACATCACATTTACATAATATGTATTATGACAATACTAATTAGGGAGTGTTACCATGTATAAATATATTAATGCTAAATCTAACAAGTTTCCATATTAAACGTCCGCACTATTAAAGTTTCCAACTATGCCTTTTAGCTGCCCCTTTATCTTATCCGCACGCATATACTAACAAAATTATAAAAATTCAGATAACATGGTTAATTACAAAAAAAAAATTATTTTGCAATCCAATTTGGCAGTGATACCGCTCCCTTCTACTCTCTGTTCCCTCTACATTCTTTTTTAATTATTATTTTCGACATTAAGACTTCCGGGTATTTTTTTTTTGTATTTTCGATTATTTTGATGGCAGCACACAATAAGTCAAATAAATTCAACAATATATCTAACGAGTATTTTATTAAAATATTTTTATTGATTTTTGCTTCCAGTTTTCATTTTTTGCGGGTATTATTTTCATTAAGTTGATGCAAAAGTGTAAATATTGACAAGGATATACAATCATTCTTTAATATTTTTCGATTTCAATATTTATTTTCATTCTATTTAGCTATGTATGTACATAACTATGTACGTTTTTATGTAAATGATACTTACTGGGTATTTATAGGACACAACGACTCACGAGTTGAAATTAATAAAAATAAAATTATTTTGAAGAAGCCGGAATGAAGAATAATAGTATTGGTAAGAAATGATATTTTTTTTTTTGCAATTTAATGATTGAAACGATTATATAATGAAAAAGTATAGAAGAGACCGAACAACTAAGAAAAAAAAAAAACAAATAATAAAAATAATGAGTGGGTGGGTGAAAAACAAAATATACAAAAAATTTAAGGATGCCTTTTATATCCTTTTCGTAGAAGGTGATTGACACCTAAAAAGGATTTTCTGTTCTAAATTTAGACTGTTTTTCGTAGGTAAAAACTTAAACTAAATTATTTAAATTTTATTTAATTTTCAATGGTATTTAAGTTAAATTTAAAAATTTTAGGATTTTTCTTAATTCAATTGGTTAATTCAATCTCAACAGAATTAAATTTTCAGAATGTGATGCTTTACGGGTCAGAATTCTGGGGTAAGTTGTAATACATGTGGTTATTTTGCTCGTTATTTACAGAGAATCTATTACTTCAAAATATCTCTTTTAATAATTTTTAAATATTTTTGTTATTTTCTTGGTACTTTTACGCTTTAATTTTTTACTTTATTTTTCTTTCCCTGTTGGTTATTTGCTTTTCTTATATTTCCAAAATAGCCACAGTAAAGATAATTTATTGGCTTCTTTATTCATCCTGTTTAAGGATATTTTTTTTTCATTTCAGTACTTT